TTCTTCAGTAGTTGTGAAGTCATTCAGGAGTAGGTCATTTAGTTTCCATGTATTTGTGTATTTTTGAGGGTTTCTCTTGAAATTAAAATCAAGTCTAATTCCATCATGGTTGGAGAAGATGCTGGATATAGTTTCTATGTTTCTGAATCTGTAGAGGCTTGCCTTGTGCCCTATCATGTGGTCAATCTTCGAAAAAGTTCCACGTCGGGGTGAGAAAAAAGTGTATCTCATTGTTTTTGGGTAGAAAGTTCTATAGATGCCTGTTAAGTCCATTTGATTTATGGTATCATTTAGATCCTTTATCTCTTTACCTATTTTTTGTCTAGATGATCTGTCTAGAGGAGATGGGGGGGTGTTAAAGTCTCCAACAATTAGTGTGTTGCAATCTATCTCTCCTTTTAGATCTAACAGTCTTTCCTTCACGTATTTGGGTGCTTCTGTGTTAGGTGCATAGATATTTATAAGCATTATATCTTCTTGATTGATTGAGCCTTTTACTACAATATAGTTTCCTTCTTTGTCTCTTTGAACAGTTTTTGTTTTTTTAAAGCCTATTTTGTCAAAAATTAGAATCGCGACTCCAGCTCTCTTTTGGTTCCCATTTGCATGGAAAACCTTTTCCAACCCTTCACTTTTAGTCTATATATGCTCATGCTCAACTGTTTGAAAGATTGCCCAAAACTTAGGGTATTTGCGCCACTCTCTGTCACCATCATAAATGACGTCTTCTTGCTCTCAGTGTAGAACTCATAAGTTTTCTCCAGTCTCTAGCATGGCATTCCCAAAGTCACAAAATAATACAAGTTGAATATGATGTCACACAAGTTAAGCATGTCTTCCTTTGCACTTTACTGAGCCGGCTGAGACAAGACCATCCAGCATTTGATAGATGGTTGCACACAAATCATTTAAAACTTGAGAGGATAGAGTACACCAGAAGGACTAATGTGATGACTAAGGTGTTCTCCCTAATAAAAGTTCCTATGAGGGACCAGTAGTTGGTATAATGGCTATGTCAATGGACTCCCATGTAGTCGACCATGGTTAGAGTCCCAGAGCTGGTGGCTTAAACTCACGCAGTGTGCATGTGTATGTGTGCCCAAGACCCTAAGAGGAGAATGGAGGAGAAGGGATTACTGTGTGGCCATCTCCCCGGGGGGTGATCTCCTACTTTTTGTCTCTCTGTCTCTCTGTCTTTCTGGCAAGCACAAGCACCCTATAGCAAAAACCTCTCCAAAAAAAGAAAAGAAAGAAAGAAGGAAAGAAAAAGAAAGAAAGAAAGAAAGAAAGAAAGAAAGAAAGAAAGAAAGAAAGAAAGAAAGAAAGAAAGAAAAAGGAAGAAAGAAAGAAGGAAAAGAAAGTTCCTCTGAAACAAGCTGAGTGAGTTGAATAGGTTATGGTTGAGGCAACACAGGCAATTGAACTGAATTTGAGCCTAGTTGTTTATTATTAACATCTGGAGTGTGATGATGATTGAAACCAAAGTTCTTTGTAAAATGACCTGATTTAAAACGGAATTTACCTTTCTCAAGAGTCTAGTAACACAAGCCATAAAAACATAAAGGCCTATTAGAAGAAACCGAAGTATTAAAAACTTTGAAAAACCTAAGCCTTTTATATCCAGTATTTAGGATTACTGTAAATGAACTGTCTGTTATTTTAGTAAACACACAAACTTTTCTTTCATTTGACTGCGTTTGGTATCAAACATAAGCCCCTAACTTGAACAAAAAGGACATTTAATATTTCATTAAGCTGTTGTTGTTGTTAAACTTGTGTGTTAATCATTCACCTTTTGGAGGGTGAATTTTACCCACCTGAAACCCAAGAAGTTTCATTGGCTATAAATTTTGAAAATTCTCTCCAGTTTCTGGATAAGCTTTAAATACAACCACTATCCCATTACTGCCCAAAGTGAATCTCCCGGAACCTGACTGAAATCTTTTCTGCTTTAGTCCATGAACCTAGCCATTGTTCCGGCTTTGTGCTGGGACATAAGTTCAAGTCCAAGTTAGCCTCTGATTACGGATTTTCCTGTGGGGAAGAGGGAAGAATTGCGACAATAGGAATGGAGATAAAAAGAAGCAACATCAAGTTTTCATGACAGCAGAGAAGTCTTGATCCGTGAGACTCAGGCACAGTGTCCGGCTGTCCAAGATGTCTGTTTTGAAGACATCTTCAAAATCTTCTAGTCAGTTTTACCTTGAAGTTCCCACCAGGTGCGCAGTTTTAAAAATCTAAAGTAGCTCTTCTGAGTTGTGAACCCGGAGTTCAATTCTTGAAGCTCTTGGGCAGTGTGAGTGGCAGTGCGAGTGGTGAGAAGAATCCGGTACCATGTCTTCCAGCAGGGCTCACAGGCGGTCTTAATCTGCTGTCATTTCCAGAAGACCCCTACTCTAGACCACGTCGGGTTGGATCGTCTTCAGTCAGTGAATCACAGACAGCATTCTTTGCCTGGTGAAAATACACTTTGGCATAAAGTGTTAAAACCTGGCAGAGTTTAGTCACTTGATTTTTCCAGAAATGTCTCATGAGAGAAAACACACTTTCTAATCATCCTTTGACTACTGTTACAGCATTACCTTCCTTCATGGAAAAGCCCCTGCACAAGCAAAAATATGCATTGAAAATGACAATGAGTGAAAATTTTTAAAAATGTTTAATAGGGTACCAGCAGTTAGCATAATGACTATGTCGCTTGACTCCCATGGTTCGAGTCATGGACCCAGTGACTTAAATTCACACCAGGTGCGTGTACATGCATGCCCAAGATCCCGAGAGAAGAATGGAGGAGAAGGGATTGCGGCGTGACCATCCCCCCTTGGGGGTGATTTCTCGCTTTCTGTCTCTCTGTCTCTCTCCATCTATCTGGTGAACGCACACACCCTATAGCAAACACCTCTCCAAGAAAAAAAAAAGACTAGACTATGTCGCTGGACTCCCATGTAGTCGACTGTGGCTCAAGTCCCGGACTAGGTGGCTTAAACTCACGCCAGGCGCATGTGCATGTGTGCCCAAGATCCCAAGAAGAGAATGGAGGAGAAGGGATTGTGGTGTGGCCATCCCCCCCTGGGGGGGAGGGGGATTTCTCATTTTCTGTCTCTCTGTCTTTCTGGTGAGCACGCACGCCCTATGGCAAAAACCTTCAAAAAAAAAAAAAAAAAAGATTTGGGGATGTAAAGAATATGCTTAAGGGGGACCAGCAGTTAGCGTAATGGCTATGTCGCTGGACTCCCATGTAGTCGACCACAGTTCAAGTCCCAAACCCAATGGCTTAAACTCACGCCAGGCACATGTGCATGTGTGCCCAGGATCCCGAGAGGGGAATGGAGGAGAAGGGATTGCGGCGTGGCCATCCCCCTTGGGGGATGATTTCTCGCTTTCTGTCTGTCTGTCTCTCTCTGTCTTTCTGGCAAGAGCACGTGCCCTATAGCAAAAGCCTCACCGGAAAAAAAAAAAAAAAAGAAAAGCATCAAATAAAGTAACTAATCATGGACAATAAGAATTGGACCAAGATAGTTAAAGATCTGACAAGAGTTTACAATTGAAAAAGAAATTTGGCTATCTCTGTGAGATACACCAATTTAACATAATCACCTACAACATGACTGATAAATATCACACTATAGGTTTCTGGGAATCTCAGTTCTTTTTGTAATACAGTACATGTATAAATACAAATATACATAAATACACATCTACACACAACATATCCATACATATAATTTAAATATAATGTAAAGAAAATTAACATTATGTAATTTAACAATGTTTCCCATATAATTTAACAAGTTAAAATAAGTCCTATATGCGAACATCTCGTTTGGATGTTTCAAGGGCCTTCAGTATACAGTCCAAAGGTTTGTTTTTTAAATTTAATTTATTATTGTTTTTCAATTTGACCTGAGAGAGAGAGACAGAGAGAAAGAGAAAGTAAGAAAGCAAACTACCAGGTGTAGGACTTGAACCATGGTCCGTCCTGTGGGAATCCAGCACCTTAACCACCACAGCACCTGCCGGCCTTTTGAAGTAAAAGAATGTAATTTGGAATTTGATTTTGGAGAGACCTTGTCAAACACAGCAAAAAGCATAAATAGTTGACTTAACTATCAGGAGAAAATGAAAGTTTAACGTTCTCTAAATGCATTAGTCAGACGAAAAAAAGGCTAATTCAGTGTCCGTTGACACCAAAACTAAAAACAGAGTGCATGGCCGACTACAGCAGCCAGATGGCATCCAGAGACAATGAGAAAACAACCCAAAGGCCAACATATGAATCACACATAAAATTTCATTTACGAGATTTAGTTTGTACCACTGTCAGTCATTAGTCCTGTAACTGTACCGTAATAGAACCAAAACTATAACGTCAGGAAAATCAGTCTTATCTAACAGCACTTAAAACTTGTCTTTAATCATTTTGTCCTGATTATCTGTAAGAAATAAAATATTGGAGAAGGCTAGTCGTTAACCCATTTTTCCTCTTGGTCGGATATCCATCATGTAACATGACATATACATACCAACTGTTTTATGAAACCAACTATATTAAGACAAAGAGCATGTTGTCTGATCAACAAATCCCTGGATAAAGTATATGTTGGAAACTGTGAAGATCTTTACTTTTTCCATTCTTTTTTTAACATATTTGAAGCTACTTTGTCAAAGATTTTAAGTCACATTTGAAAAGCATTAAAATTAATTTGTATGAGCGCTCTTATCATTAGGCCTTTTATCACAGACATACAGCATACCACATAACATGTATGCACGCATTCACACATGCAAACAAAAGATCTCTGTTTTCCAAAAAGTTCTTTAGGCTTCTCTCTACCCCCTAAAATAAGAATGCTTCTTATTTTAACACTGCTGTACAGATACTGTATGAAACTGAGAATCTAAGAGTTGTCTTGATGAGCTCCACCCTGGTTTCTGCAGCCTTGCCAATCATTGCTTGTCTTCCTGCCCCTTGCAAAGAACTGAAACCAGTCACTCCTCCCCACTTCCCCAAAATAGAAGCTGCTTAATGCTCTGACTGATTCCCTGATGTAATCAGATATCTTCAGAGTCTATCGAAACAGTAAGTAGCTTGCTTTTACTTGTGTATGTTCATTTAATAATAAATATCTAAGCATTACTTGTCAACTGTTCATTTTTTTAAGAGAGTTGGGGTTTTTTTGGTTGTTTGTTTGTTTGTTTGTTTGTTTTTGCTATAGGGTGCATGCACTTGTCAGAGAGACAGAGAGATAGAAAGTGAGAAATCACCTTACAGAGGTGGCGTGGCATGGCCCTCTCCATTCTCCTCTTGGGATCTTGGGCATGCATGCACTCTTGCCCAGCGTGAGTTTTAAGTTGCCAGTTCTGGGACTTGAACCACAATCAACAATATGGGAGTCCAAAGACATAACTATTACACCGTCTGCTCGTCCCTTGTTAATTTTCCCATTAATTGTTCTAACCCTAAATACCTATTCAATAGGTACAATTCTAGGTTAAACAAGGTAGATACTTTATATTTTAAAGGCAAGTAGCAGAGATACATGATAATCAAAGGTGAGGATTGTTATGCAGATTAATTGCCGGAGGGCAGGTGTCCTGGTTAGTCTAGGAGGGAAAAGAGCGCCCAACAGGGAGGATTGCATAGCAATCCCTTTGTCTCCATTTTTTTTCTAATAGTGGAAGTTGGGGGCATGAAGAATTTTAAATAAATCACTAATTTGCCAGAAAGTTGTATTTTTGAAGACCAATTTAATTGACACGTGGCCTTTTAAATGGAGGACTGAAGTCTGACGACTTTTTCCTATTTCCAAATCTTTTCCAGAGGGCCTGGAGGAAGTCATGCCCATAAACATTTGCAGGCCATTTTGAGCCACTGATAACAGAATTCTTCTAACATCCTGTCCCTGGCATAGTGTCTTTGGGATTTTCTATAGTGTCTTTGTATATTGTCTCTGTTAAAGCAAATTCTTTTCTGATCTCAGCAACCTTCCTTTTCCAATCACCAACCTAAAAACTGTCAAGCCCACATATAACCTACAAGCCCCGTTCCACATGTCCCATCTTTTTGGGACAGACCAATGGAAAATCCCTTTGCTAAATTCCAAACTTTGTCTCTCTCCTTCAAAATCAAATAAAAGGAATCCCTGTACCTGATAACCCCCCAAAAAAGCTGGCTCCTCTCTGAGCCTAGGTCACTCAAATGCATGCTTAGAAATAAACTGCATTAATTATTATTTTTGCTGAGTTGGTTATTTCCATCGACAAAACTCAGCACGTTTCTTAATCACTGATTTTAAGGTGGAGCCCCTTAAGAAAGGCAAAGAAAGCATTTTCAATGCTTATAATTCACCGTGGATATCACTGAAGAAACAACTCAGTTTGGCCTGTCGGTGTATTTTAAACCATTTTAATGAGTCTTTATCTAGCTTTCTGTTAGGTTTGACTCGGGATAGGCGGAGGAGTCAAAGGCGGCAAAGACGAAAATATCAGAGGCAGGCCTTGAGGCTTAATAAAACCAATATCATTTGTCGATGGAAAAAAAAAACAACTGTAAAATGAATAATTAATGCGGTTTATTTCCAAGCCAATTGTGAGTGACCTAGGCCCGGAAAAGAGGCATACATGCCTTTTCTCAGGGTGATCATGTACAGGGGTTCCTTTTATTTGCTTTTGAGATTGACAGATGACATTTAGTGAAAAGATTTTCCATTGGTCTGGCCCAAAAAGGCGGGACATGTGGGGGGGGGAGCTTGTAGGTTATAGGTGGGTTCCACAATTCTTAGGTTGGTGATTGGAAGGGAAGATCTGTGTCTTAGTTAAAGAAAGGCTTAATCTACATCTCAAGGAAAGGGAAGTTCTGTGTCTTGGGAAGAGATAAGCACAAGAATATACTGTAATGGTTGAAATATACATCTCAAAGATACTATGCCAGGGACAGGAGGTAGGAAGAATCCTGATAATAGAAAATAAATGGTCTATTAATGTTTGTGGACATGACTTCCCCAGTCCCCTTTTGAAAAGATTTTGGAAAAATAGGAAAAGTAGTCAGACTTCTGTCCACACATTTATTCTGCGAAAAGCTCTCAGGGGAGATCCCGCGGTCTCAACAGAGGCCAGGGGAGTCACACCCAGGGTGGGTGCTGCTTGTTCTTAAAGGGCCATTGTCCAATAGGTGGTCACCATGGGTCCTTGTGTAGCAATGAAGGTCGCTGTTTGTGTTCAACTTTGGCAGGTGTGCCAAATGCTGAAGGGCACTAAAGTCCGTTGTTGATGGCGGGCCAGATGCAGAGAACAGCCAAGTTCTTGCCAGCGGGAATGTTTCCGCCACGTTTCTTTTCCCTTCCCCCAGAACTTACACTTTCTTTTTGGTTAGGGCAGGCTGGTAACAAAGCAAAATTTTTGGCAGAACATTTTTTATGTCACCTTTTATAGAGTCTTAAAAGAGTTAAAGTTAATTTTTTAGAAGCTTCTACATATCAATGGGCATCCCTGGATGGACCTAATTTGGGAGCCCTCAATTTTAATTATGCCTTTTAAAGAGTAATTTTGTTAATATAGAAAGTTCTTCATAATGGCCATAATAATTTCAAATAACATTTTTTTTTTTTGGAGAGATTTTCGCTATAGGGTGCATGTGCTCGCCAGACAGACAGAGAGACATAGAGACAGAAAGCGAGAAATCACCCCCCAGGGGGATGGTCACACAGCAATCCTTTCTCCTCCATTCTCCTCTCGGGATCTTGGGCATACACGCACACATGCCCGGCATGAGTTTTAAGCATGAGTTTTAAGCCACTGGGTCCGGGACGCGAACCGCAGTCAACTACGTGGGAGTCTAGCGACATAGCCATTACGCTAACTGCTGGTTCCCAATTTCAAATAACATTACTAAGATACTGTGGTAGGCAGTTAGTCACGAGCGGGCAGCCCTAAGAGAAAAGCGAAAGGCTCACCTAGCCCCGGGCGCCAGGAGGGCGAGGCAATTTGCCATCTTCCTTCCTTGGGGCCTGAGGGAAGCACACAGGGATGATTCTTAGATTTTCCTCTTACCAAAAAGACCCAAGCAAGCATTTTGGTCAGCACCCTAATCCCCAAGTAAGTGTTTTGGTCAACGCCCTAATTCCCACTAGGACAATGAATTAATTAGGCAGTCTAATTAAACAACCAGGCTCACACTGGGCATGAGCGATAAGGTAATCAAATTCCTCATTCCTTACCTGTGAGAGAACTGCGCAAGCGCAGGAGAAAATGCATGGATTTGAATCCAAACGAAGGACGTAGGTAGTATGACAGACCTCCCACTAATAAATATTCATGATCACCTCTAGTAACAATTAACCAGTATCAAGCGCAGTTGCCAGGTGTATACTTTCCTTTCTTTCCTATTAAATCTTTTCTACCTACTTCATTCGTGGTTGTGGTTTCATTTTGTGCCTGGGGACAGATCTCTAATTTTAGTGATTTAGACCCAAAGAACCAAAGACTTCACAACGCAGCTCGACATTCTCCCATCCATTAACAATATCACCACTTGGGACCAGCAGTTGGCATAATGGCTATGTCGCTGGATTCCCATGTAGTTGACCATGGTTCAAGTCCTGAACCTGGTGGCTTAAACTCACACTGGGCGCATGCCCAAGATCCCGAGAAGAGAATGGAGAAGGGATTGCTGCGTAGCCATCCACGCTGGGGCGTAATTTCTCACTTTCTGTCTCTCTGTCTTTCTGGCAAGTGCACACACCCTATAGCAAAAACCTTTTACATAAACTTTGAGTCTCTTTAAGCAGAAAAAAACTTAAATGGGAAATAATATACCCTGGCATTGACTGAGCTCTTCTTGACCAATTTAGCCAATGACCTTTCTCTAAGCATGCCAAAGAAAGGAAGGAAGGAAGGAAGGAAGGAAGGAAGGAAGGGAGAGAGAAGAGAAAGTTGGGACCAGCAGTTAGTGTAATGGCTGTGTCGCTCGACTCCCATGTGGTTGACCCTGGTTTGAGGCCCAGAACCAGCGGCGTA